AGCTATAGAAAAAAACTGAATAGAATAGGCAGTTGTCTAGGTCTCCAAGTTCCTGGGGGCCCCATAAAACTCTGTTTCCATGAATGGTTAATACAATTATTCCTTATTTATTAATATCGCTATATTTAGCCACTTTTCAGACCCCTCTAGCACTTTGATTTCTAAAAAGCTCCTAGCGCCAAATCTAGAGACTTTTTTCTGCTACTGGAGACTTTGGAGACAACATCTAAAAGCAGCGAACTCTGCTCTCCAGAGCAAGTAGATTGGTAACCTCGCCTCCTATTATTTTGTTCAAATAAAATGGAGAACAGATAAGCAGATCATGGCTTGTCTGCAGGGAAAAGAAAAACTACTTTTACTGTCGCCTTTTTGGAAACAATCAGCTAAGCTCACTTAGCTGATAGGAAAAATCTCTCATTTCTTTGCACTGCAAAAAATCTAAATCTAGATAAGTCATTTTTTTCTGAAAATAAGTGAATTTGTTCTTGAATTGAGGAGGTAAAAAAGGCAATTTACACTTAAAATATGAAAACACAATTGTCTTATTTCAAGTGCATATTATCTAATTATCTCATTTTAAGAGTAAAATTACTCATTCCATTGGCAAACTATCTCATTTACCTACTCAAATTAAGAGTGAATGCACTTAATTTAAGAAAATGTTACTTATTTCTAGATCGTTTTTGCAGTGTGGAGTCAGCATGAAAATCAGCTGAGAACATTGCCAATATGAAAAGAAAAAGGGACAAAATAAAACAGAAGGTAGAACAGATAATGGATGTCTATTCTATTAACATTTCTCTATCTGTATAATGAGTCTGTTTTATGTGTTGTCTGCTCAATTTAGAGGGCCCCCGACTGTCTTTGCTGGGCCTCAAGTTTCCTAAATCCGCCCCTGTTAAAATGCAAACCACTGACAGATATTCGTCTTTTTAAAGAAATATAAAATTATTTATTGTTTTCTTTTCATCTACAATTAAAACTTTAGTATAAGTTAAATGATCAAGAATATAGAGAGTGGGTGTTTTTGTTTGCTAGGAACAAAAAAATAAAAAATAAAAATCCTATCCTTGAGTTTGCTGCATGATTAGCCGTTAACCCTGGCTGTCTAGTGCATCATCATGGCTCCAAAGATTGCTTCTGAAAAGCAGCTAATGAGAATGGACCTTGAGTGCCTGGATGATAATGGTGATCTATCAGGGGATCCGTGATCTTCAGACGCAGGAGATGAGATGAAAGCCAACTACACGTCGCTCAGTTGAAGTAAACAATTATGTTTTATTGATAAGCTTCTCAGAAGAGTCTCGTTTCAGTGAATGTATAAGAATCACCCTCTGATAATACTGATTTGGTACATTATGACATCCAGCACGAGTCTCCTCACAGTGAGAGGGATCCATTACTGCTACTGCTGTTGGGATCTAGGACAGAAAGAATCTGCTTTCCAAACAACAAACCAACCAACAAAAACCAAAGAAATCCAAACAAACTTTGGACGGATATCGTAGATAATGAAGTATCAGAGTGCCACAAAACTCTAGAGTAGTAAGAGCAGCTAAAGGTTTCGCACATTACAAGCCACTTCCTCTTAGAAATATAAAACTTGATATTCTGAACAATATTCTACTGTGCTGCATAAAGGTAAATCTATACACTGTACATCGAAATATACTTCGAAAAAACAGATTTCACAGTTTTAAAGACTTTATTTAAAGTATAAACTGCTTTTTAAAACACCTCATTACATAAATTACTCTTTTTGCCGGTTGACTATTGTCCCCCCCCCCACGTCAGCAAACCAAAAAAAAAAAAAGCAAATACAAAAACCGAAATGAACATTTCTTACATATCGTACAAAACAAAAGAAGCTCGTCCATCCATGTTCGTCTCGATAAAAACTGGTGACTCATTCATGATTGTCATTTAGTACTAAGAATAAATAAATAAAAAAAGAAAGACTCAAACGAAATAAATAGTAAGTCAGCATGTCTGTCGGACTCGGTGAGTGCGGTGTGTGTGTCTGTTTACGTTCGCTCTGTACAGAAGTGCCTTGGTGAAAATCTCACAATTCTACCGCGACTGAAACGTACAAAACTACGGCATCTACGGTATACTCAACATCCTGAAAGTTTTAAGTGTAATCTGACACATATGTATGAGGATATGATTCTCCTCCCCGTTGAGAAATAAACAAGGTGGTGCTATGCCACTTTCCACAGATATAGCCGTCGTTTTTTTTTTTGTTTTTTTGTTTTTTTACTTCCTTTTCGTAGTTTTTTTTTCTTTATTTATTATATTTTTGAGTATTTGCTGCAGTTCATCATCAGCTGGGATGTTCATGGATGCCGTTGTCCTGTTGCTTGGCTCATCAGCGGAGGAACTGGTCTGGTGGACGGACGATGGGAGGCCTGAGAGACGGGGAGACGGCTCGCGTTGACGTCGCTGTTTTGTGATGCGTGTCGGGTGATGGCTCCGCTCTGAGGAGGTTTGGTCTCCGCTTTGGTCCCTTTGCCTTCAGTGTCTGTATTAGAGACCAGGCCGCAGAGGCCGGCGCAGTGCAGCCTCCGTCCTGTTGGGTTGCTATCGTGGCTGTTTTTCAGCGTGACCCAAAAAATATGGGCGAAAATATCACTTTCTTTTTCAAAAAAGGGGGGAATCTCCTTATTGGTTAAGCAACAGTTGTCAGAGTTCTTCAGTGCTTTTTTTTTTGTCAGTGGTTCAAAGTTTTTTTTCCAAAAAAAGAAAAAAACAAAACAATAAAAGACTAAACATTAATTTTTTTTGCCTGTGGCAGTAAAATGAACAATATGTTTTTCATTCTTTTTGAAAAGTCCCTGCAGCGTTCCGCGAGAAACCCCGTCTGTCGGATCATTCTCCCTTGATTTCAGAGGAGTAAAGTTAAGGAGGCGGGGTTAGGATAGAGGGACACAATCCAGAGATGTTAGGAGAGTCAGCGGGGTTCCTGTGGGCTGTTACCTCCTGCCCATCTCGTTCTGTCGGAGAAACTGGACGTTGTTGCTGCTGTCAGCCAGTTCTGGGTACTGCTCCACCGGCAGCACGTAGTATCCGTCGTAGCCTTGGACCCGGCCTGTCGATAGAAGCTGCTGCCTCTCCCCTTCAGTCCACAGGCGACTGCCCCCCTTCCCGTCTCGTGCTCGCTGCTGCTCCTTAGCCCAAGCCCCCGCCAGCGCCCTCTGCCTGGCCAGCTCCAACAGTCTGACCTTCTCCTCGTCCACCACGTCCACAGAGAGCCCGTAGCGAACGCTCAGCACTAACGAGGGAACCGCAAACTCCACCGTCACGCCTCTCCTCGATCGGCCGCTCACTGTCACGTTGATGCCGCTCTCCAGTGACTTCCTTCCATTCGTGAGCCCCAGGGCCAAAAGGTCGCTGTCGGCAGAGCCCACCTTCACGAAGTAGTGGCAGTCCTTCCCGTCCTGAGTGTAATGAGTGCCCTCCAGGTACTGGGCGCCGTTCAGCACCAGAGCTATTTTGCGGCTGTCGTCGCTGGCCAGAGGCGACACGCCAGCCACCACCCGGCCCTCTTTAAGGGCCAGCATTACTCCTCGCCCGATGATGGGGGTGCTGGTGCCGAACCAGTGGCCGGGCTTGTCTTTACGTCTGCGACGCTCTTTGTTGAGAAGGCGGCCCTCAAGGGCCATGAAGGCCTGGTTGTGGCGCTCAGCTGCCTGCTGCACACCTGTGATGAGCTGAAAGGCAAAGAGAAAAACCACAGAGCAGCTTTTAGACTAGAGGGAAAACTAAAAAATATTTTACTAATGTAAAAACCACATCCTCAAATATGTTTCACACAACGCAAGTAGTTTCTAGTTTCTATAAACCCCTATGAAAGCAATCAGGATTCACCCCAATTGACTCCACTACCCTAAAATAAAACCCAGCGCCACCATCTGCCTGTAGAAATAATTTTAGTAATAAATCAACAAAAGAACCTTTGGAAGAGTGGCTGAAATGAAGCCAAACAATAACTCGCAGTTTTCCAGATAATACGAATTTCCATCGAGGAAGCAGCCATAGAAGCAGACAAAGACTGATCTTTAACGTCTAGATTCCAATTTCTACATGTGGTTTAAAACTACGCTGCACCTCATCCTGAACACTGCATGGAGGCAGCAGTCTAATGCTGTGGGCTTTTAATAAATGCTGTTAAACGCTGGGCAGTCTTGAAGGAAAATAGTTTAGAGATTGAAATTTTGGACAATAGCCTGAAAAATAAAATCATAATGAAATAAAAAAGAAATATGGATGTGTCACAACGGCCCAGTCAAAGTCGTTAACTACCAATAGCTGGGAATCTTTGGTGAGACTTAAAAATCCCTCATCACAGCTGCTCTACGTTCAGTCTGGGCTTAAAGGTACACTATGCAACAGGTGTTGATTTTCCAGCGAGGCTCCCCCCAGAGGGCGAAAGTAAAAGTGCACTGTCGTAAATATGCTCAGCTGTTCTCCTGCTTTCTCCGTCAAGCCAGGCGCGGTTGTTTTGAGCTTAGCAGACAGGCGAACGCAACAAATCACCATGTCTACTGCGGTAAGGGACTATTTTGTTCCAATTTTCGAGTTTGAAAATTTAGCGTGTTTTCATACATTATTTGTCATGCATGTGTCTAAATAACAAAGATTGTAGTTAGCCAAGTTCTCGCCGTAAAGCAAAACTGACTCTCGCGATGCACGAGACTTCTGAGCCTGTGGGTGCGGGCCAAGGGTTCCTGCAATTGCAAGTGCGGTATTTCCCCTACAGACCACCAGGGCGGCCGAGAATACCTTTGACCTGAAATGACTCATTTAATCAT